TTCATGATATTCATTAATAACTAATTTCTTTCTTCTAAAGGCTGATTATAAAATATTAAATAATCTATTTTCTTCAGGTGGTTTAAGATTTAATTCTACTTTATTGATTCTTCTAAAATTTTCCCAATCAAATTTTCCTTTTAAATCATATCTCTCTACTCTTTCGTATACTTCGATTTCTAAATTCTCAGAATTTTCAATTTTCATGATCTCTAGGGCTCTGTTACCATTTTATTTCAGGTTTTCAAGAAAACAAAAATACAATTTCAATTATAAACAAAAAATTTATAAAATTCTTGGGCTTAATAGGTGGAAAGAGTTGATGGTGAAGAAAAGATAAATTTTAATTCCAAAGGGAAAGCAATTTGTCGAATTTATATAAGATCAAAATTTTAGGGATTAAAATGAAATCCATTATATATTAACATGACTTGTTAGAGAAATTTTTTATTTTGAGAGTATTTTGGAAACTTTAAAACTTTAAAATGGACAAAGGCTAATCTCGAATTATGACTTCATTTTTAGGCTATTCTTATGTATTTCCCCCTAAATTACCCTCATTTATTCAACGCGAAAAATTTACCCTGTCCCTTTCCCAAATCGGTTACCCTCCAACCCCTGGGAGAATTTTCAAACTAGCCGGGTCAAATGACCCATTTGGATTTTTTTATATAAAAGTCCATTTTGCCCTTAATGAAATAGGTTTTTATTGCAAATCATGTCCTCTATCTTTATAATTTTTAGAAACTAGTTTTCTTCTTATTTTTATNTCTTGAGGGTATTTTAGGAACTTTAAAAATTTAAAATGGTAAAAGGGTATTTTGGAAAAGGTATTCTAAAATTTTGGGTATTTTCAGTAATGTCCCATTAATCTAGAGTAGTTTAGTACCAATTTATATTAACTTGCACCTTGTTTTTATCTTCCAACCATATAATGCCACTTGTACAAAACAAATGCGAACATCACAAGGCACCCAAACCAGATGTACCAATATAATTATAGCCTGTTTGAACCCCATTATAATTTAAGATTGTATTTTGAAATGGTAGATTGATGAAAAATGTGTGGTTCAAAAATTAGAAAAGATTTTGGGTTTGCATGTAATATTATTTTATTGAAAATGTGTGGTTGAAAAAAAAAGAATAATGTATTTTAAAAATAATAGGAATCAAATAAGGGATTAATCATGCGAATATCCAATCACAATGAAAAATATTTTAATGATTGAGCCTCCGTTTGGTAACCATTTTTCTACAAAAAAATGCATTTTTCGTGTCAAATCATACCTTTTTTGTGTCTCTTTCTNATTTTTCTACAAAAAAATGCATTCTTTGTATCAAATCACACCTTTTTGTGTCTCTTTCCAGTCATGGACCACACTTGATGTGAAAGAAAAAATATATTATTTGAAGAAAGAATGGCTCCCAAACGGAGCCTAAACACGTCATAAGATTCTTCAATCAAAGTACGACTTGAAACGGTCATATAAGACTATTCCCCTAAATTATTTTTACTGTAGTCCCCACCTACACAATATTTAATTAAATTTCTAATGGATAAAAATCAGTAAGTCGGAATTAGAATGACAAAAATCGTTGTTAACGGGTTTGACTTGAAAGAAAGAAGTATACAAAAAGATTAAGGGACTGTTCTCTTTGTCTTTCAGTTTTGTATTTTGAGTTTTGAATTCATTTTGGATTTTGTGTTTTGAGTGTCCATTTGAGATTATTGAAAATATGTTCT